AAATGAGGATTAGGAGGAAGTCAAGTGGCCCTTGTACAAATTTGTCATGAGTGGCTTCAATGCGAAACTTGGGATGTCAGAAGAAAGGGGGAAGTGACAGGATAGCTTTAGGATCAGGACTACGAAATGAGAATGATAGCTCTAGGATCAGGACTACGAAATGAGAATGGTACCGTCTTGTTGAGCTCTTATCCGCCCCACACTTCTTCATGGCAACTACATCATTATGAAGAAAGAACGCCAGCGGTGGACATGGGAGTCACCGAACGGTACGACTCATGCGATGATCGACCATATTTTCACCGACCGAAGGTGGTGGTTCGGAGATCACAGCCTCCTTCGAGCAAAAGCGCGATTCAGCCGAAAGCTAGATAAGAACATCTGTCACCATGTTGGAGGAAAGAGAAAAGTCGCATATGACAGCGTTAGAGTGGAGGAGCGCCTGACTACCTGTGACTGGCCCATCGAGAAGAACCCACGAAGGACTACGACCTGTTTCTCAGAGGACTGAGGGCCTGTGATGAAAGTGCCTCAAAGCCGCGAGCATGGGACTTTGAACGCATTTCGAAAGCCACTAAGAATCTGCTAGAGGGGAGGGGAGCGCTGAGGTTGGATCCGACTGCATCACATCTCGAGCGGTTGGTAGCCAATATCAGTTGCAGAACAGCTTTGCACGAAGATTTTCGAAAGTACAGGTAGTCGAAACTTTTGGAAGCAGCACAAGGAAGGAGAAGTATAAAGAAGTGTCGCAGGGACCTCCTCACTACCTGTTCTGCAGACAACAAAACTAAGCGAAGATGGGTCTACATCTTCTACAATAGGTGGGATCGATCACGAGATATTACACTGATTTCTTCCGCTCATCAACATCCGTCAAACCTCGCTATCCCCACTGGAGAAATGCTACCACGGATTTTACCTGCTAAGTACGTACCGCAAATCAGGCCATGAAGCCAGACAGGGTCTAAGAGCGGACTACGTTTCGGCCGACCTCTTACGAATTAGAGGGCTTCGATTACACGAGATACTTGCGACACACCTAACGTCTTACCTTCAAAAAGAAAGGATCCCGACCAGTGAAGAATCTCCCAAACAATCCTGCTTCATAAGAAGGCGATAGGGAGGATCTTCTGAACTACCGCCCAATATGCCCGCTGAGTGTGCATCACAAACTCTTTACGAATATTATTCTCGCTCGCATATTAAGGACACGAATGGAGCTCAACCTGTAGAAAAGGTGAATTTCGTAAGGGACTCAGCTGCAAATTAACCGGAAGAAGTCTCAGCTCATGAAGGACTTTATGCGAAGATCAGGAAGTGGAATTAGAAGGCTCTCCAATCGCGGAGACCTTCTTACGTATATCTCGGACGTCCCATGAACATGTAGAACGATATAAAAGAAGCACAAAACTGAAGGCGAAGAGCTGGACCGCCGTCGCGCCCCAAAAGGAAGCCACAGACCAACTGTTGGACCAGGAGCTCCGAGCCCCCTGTTCGATTCAGTCGTTCTCACTGCGCTCTATTACACAGCAGAAAGGGGGGACGCTGTGGCTACGTCGAAGGAACTTCGGGCAACCCTCAGAGCGCTGGAACTGCGTCTCCTGAAGTACAACCGATGCACCAACACCTCGTCGGACTTCGCAGTTCAGATATGATATATGTGTCGTTTTCGCGATCCAACGGAATAAGTCTTTAAGACAAAACATCGATGGGCTGGTCATATAATGAGAAGGACCGAGGACGGATGGATGCTAAGAGGAAACAATGCTAGGCCTGCACGACGAGTGAACTAAGTATCTAAGCATTTAAGGAAAACCAAGCTTTTCTTGAAAGAAATGTAAATTATCTCCATTGTAGTATTTAGAGTTAGCAATAAAATAAATATATCCAATCTTTATTCTCGTTTTTATTCACTCTCATCCACTATTAGCACAATATCGTTTGATTGCAGTCCTCTTTCCACGGGGCTCTATATAATAGATTGAATTAAAAAAGCTTTCATACGCGATTGATTGGCAAAGAGCCAATATTGATGTGCACAAATGTCACACTGTAGGCAAATACTTACCTTTGGGTTCAGGTCTGGCGACCAGTACACACCGAGATCAGAAGTTTTCGCGTGTCCAATTCCAAGTTCTCCGGTGTCGGGAAATACTGCAACAGTACTACTCTCGGGAGGCACTATTTTTCCGTCCTAAAATTTCTTATCTCTTTTTTGATACGAGAGAATTTAAGTGCTCAGAAACCAACTCGTCTCTCTTGCTCCCTGCGCTCCGCTCTCACACTTAAATTATAAAAGCAAGAAAAGACTTAACTTGTCTACAAATAGATCACATTCCAAGGGTCTCTTTGGACTCGGCTTGCAGTATTTTACATGCTCTACAAGACCGTGTTTTCCTAGTCGTATACGATTCCAGGTATTGATTTTCTTTCCAGATGGCACTTCTAAGCTTAGGAGAACCGACTTCCCAGCCTAAATTCTCATAAGGCGTGCATTAGCTTATTGGACCATTATCTCTGGGCAATCCTTACATAGGCACGGACGACTTTGAAATCTGAGGAACATGCGGAGATCGAGATGAGCACAAAAACTACAATTAGTGTATTGAACCGCATCTTCTGAAAAGACACACATGTCTCAGCTTGCTATATGGGATTATTTCCTTCAGCAGAGTATTCGGGCGACAATTACAAGAACTTCAAAAGATTGGATCCTTTTTGCCAAAAGGGCAGTTTTGCAG